ACAAAACATTGACTGCTTCTTCTTTCTTCTGTTCCATATCCCAAAGATCTCTTTCCTACTTCATGGAGGAAACGAATGATTGAGGGATCACCTCTTGTAGCTTTTCCAGCATTTTCAAGTGCAAATGCTAACGCTTTCGAAAGATCGAGTTTCTCCATGTTCCGGCCTTTTCCATAAGGAAGTATCTGATTCGAGGCCTCGAAGCCGTTAGTGAGTGATTTAGTTCCTCCATAGTTGAAATCTTGAAATGTTATCTGTAACCAAACAAACCATTTAACCTCAAACAAGATAATGAATACTCATTGTGGATTCAAAGAGTTTGAAAGAAGTTTCAAAGCTTACAGTTTTTGCTCTGGTTTCTTTTGATCCCTTAAAACCTCTGTTAGAATATGCATAGTTGTCTGCAACAACCACAAAAACCCAAAATTTACATGCATATAAGAAGATCTTTAGCTTTTGTTGGCTAGATCTAACAGAGGAAACTTATATAATAAGGTTATTAAAGTTGTTTGATACCTAAAATACTCAAGAATCTAAGTAGCTACTTATGCTCTCTCTCTCTTTAAAAAGATTCAATGTTTGTTCATTCTTTACCTGTAGGTAAGCACTTCTGAGAGATCGAAAGCTGTTCTTTCCTTACGCGAAGATCATCCAACAACTTCTGTGCAAAATCTGACCTTTTCATCATTCTCTTCTCTCCACTCGAACTCATTCTCAGTTATTTGAGATCTTCTTTGAGTCCAGAAACAAGAAGACACAAAAGAAATCTCTCGCATTTGCGTTTCGGGTTTATTTCTAGAGACTCTATACTTGTGTTTTTCTTTAGTTGGTTTCAGTTGTTTTCTTGAATCCACTTATTAATCTTTTAGTTGAAATGGTTCTTTCAGTGTTTGGTGTGGAAAAATTCTGAGTAGTGATAACAAATGGAAGATTCTGACTAATGAAAAATGTGTGTTTTGGATGATTGACGTGAACGTTAGGGCCTTCTAAGTAAATACGTGTTTCCTTTTAACTTCGATTGCAAGTTAAGCAATGACGAATACCTTTGCGACTTAACTTTCAAGCCTCTCTCACTCTGTATTTTTTATATGCTTTTTGTCTGGTGGTGCCTTTGAATTTTATTTTATGTTGAAGAAAATATGAGAATGAAATTATTTTCTTACAATCCAATCAAATCCTAATAAATACTACTTTAAAAAATATATATATATAATGAAATTAAATTGTAAGAGTTGAAGCAACAGATAAAAAGATTAAGCATGAAACTAAATTTAGTTCTATTTTCCATTCCTAAAAATTTCAAGGATTTTTGCACCTTTGAGTAGAGGAAATAACCACTTCCAAAATATTGTTTAACAGATATAACCTTGAGCAAAATTAGCTAGAGTAATTAGCAGCTTAAGTACAAAACACAAAAGGGTTAAACATTAAACTCCGGTTGTTTTCCAAACATGATCAGCTTCATATCTTTTGGCTTTCTTCAGAACTTCCTCCAACTCTTGTAATGTAAACCTGACAAAAACAACAAACATCAATCATCAGTTTTAGCACTTTTCTTGCTTAAGTTCGAGTTTAAGTTAACTACAAACCTTGAAGGCGTTAGCTCGAACTAGCTGGAAAACAAGTGCATCTCCATATGCTAGATTGTGAGCAATCGCAAAACCCATCCATCCACCACTAAGTCCAGTCTTTCTCGCTAAGTACACGGTCTCAAACTCCTCGCCTTCTTCATCTATCAAAGTCATGACACCGTCTTGTTTACTGAGCTGTGATTTGCAGAAATGAGATGGAAGACCCTGATTTGTAACCAAAGCAAAAGATAGGTTTTTCGAATTAGATATTACAAACATCAGACAAAGTTGATAAGATTCAAACCGGTAGAAAGAGATTTGATTAATGATCTCCCAAACCAAAACAATAGACAATCAGGGGCTTGTTCTTAAAGGTCTAATAAACCAAAGACAAGATTCAAACCGGTAGAAAGAGATTTGATTAGAAGGACTGTCTTGTTCTTGAAGGTTTAGTAGTTTACATGGTTAGACTTTCTATCATCAATCATCAATCTAAAAGGAAATCCATTAAAGCAAATAGTTTCCAAGTAACATGAAGCAATGCAAAGACCGGTAATGGACTTATAACCAAAGAGAGAGCAGAAGTTAAAGCAAAGTAAGATATAAATGTAAAGATTTATGTGTATCAAAGTTGATTTACCAGCCAGAAGCCACCAGAAACATGTGAGGGAAGCATGGACTTAACGAAAATGGGGAATTCACTACCCAAATCAGCCTGCAATTTCTCAGCTCTTGATATGGCCTCTTCTCTGCACTCATCAGACACATAAACTCCATTGKAGAAATCTCTCCCTCTCCTGCTGCACACCCTAAAAGAATGGAAACCGGATAATAAAGAAGACAAAAAACAGTAATGTTTTATGTAAGATAATTGCAGAAATGTTTCAAACAAGTGAAAGAGAAGATCTTTAAGCCAATTTCACCTTCTGGGTATCTTCACTCGTTGAACATCAATCTGTTTACACATCCAAAAAACAAAAAACCACAATTTCATAAGACTGGCATAAACCCTAGAAATTAGGGGAAAAAAAACAGAGAATCAAGAGACTTGCTTCTTTGTAAAC